GAACTTGAGCCCTTCGGATACCTCATGTGAGCAGATCATTCATTTGTGTGAGGATCCCCTCAAGCACATGACAGGACTTCCTTCCTTTGTACAGCTAATGCCCTCATACATGTTCACTAGTGGACAGTAGGACTCCCTCCCTCTCCCACCCTCTCTCTTCTCTCTCCCCCAACTCCCTCCTCCCCCTCCCTCTCTGTTCTCTCTCTGTCTCTCTGTCTCTCTCTGTCTCTCTGTCTCTCTCTGTCTCTCTGTCTCTCTGTCTCTCTGTCTCTCTGTCTCTCTCTCTCTCTCTCTCCCCTTGCCCACCCCTTAGCAGTACTGGGAATTGAACCCAAGCCTTACCCATGCCAGAAAAGGACTCCACCGTTGAGCTATGTATCTTCCCACTTTTTTATTTAAAGCCTTCAGACAAGGTCTCACTAACTTGTCTAGTCTGGCCTTGGACTTGCTGTATAGCATAGACAAGCCTTGAACTTCCACTCCTCCTGCCTTGGCCTTCCAAGTAGCTGGGATCACAGACCCAGGCCTGCAGTAACCGCTTGCCTCCCAGCTAGCTGGCCACTTTGAAGATCCTGAGCAGGCGAGCCAAGCCCCTGCCTCTGCGCATGCGCAGCCCTGCTCTCTCGTCTTTTGGCTATAGAATCAGAATTAGTGCTGCTGATGGGTAGTCACATTTTTTAATTAGAAACATTTTAATTTATTATTGTGTGTGAGAGAGCGTATGGGTGAGGTCAGAGGACAGCTTGGGAAGCTGGTTCTCTCCTTCTACCTTATCACAGATTTGAGAGATGGACAGCAGGCCACCAGGCGATTACAGTGATTGCTGTACTCACTGAGCCATCTCACACCCCACTTTTTAACTTGGTGAAGGACCTCCACGCTGTGTTCCATTGGCATCCCTAACAGTGAAGATGGTCCCGGTTTGCCACAGCTTCAGCCATGGGAGTGTTGCTATCTGGAGAGGGCTGCAGATTTGTTCTGGTTCTGCTTTGATTTGAACGCACACCACGAGGGCTGTGGCCCTGGCCTTTTTGCTTTTCAGTAGCATCGGCGTTTCGGTTTGAGCTGAGTTTCTCTGTAGCTGGTGACACTGAGCAGTATTCATACGCCATCCCACTTGCATACCAGTTTGGGGAGATATCCAAACCCTTTGCTGTTATTTGTTTTTATTTTGTCATTTCTGAGGCTGGAAAGCGGGCCCTCTCACCTGATGGGTGAGCACTCTACCACTGGGCTGTTCCCCTGGGTCTTGCCCATTTTCAAATCTGATTATTTGGTCTCTACTGTTGTAGTTATTTGTCTATTCCCAGTATTCACCATTATCTGTTACACTATTTGCAAGTATTTCAACTGTCCCCAGACTGCTAGCAGGCATGTCTGACCACGAGTGAGCTCAACAGATGCCCTTAGATCCGAGGGCTCTCACCACCACCCTCACTTTGGGACTGGCAAGTCCCCATGGCAAACAGAACTAGTTCTTTTCATCACTTCAGGGGTTTTGGGGAAGTCCTGTGTATTTGTCAATAAAGCACTGTTGACCAATAGGGAACCAAGATAGGTGGGACTAGGAGTCCAGAAGGACTCTGGGAAGGAGAAACACAGGAAGTCAAGATGTAACCACCATGGGGTAGGAAGCCCGGAAATTTCTCCGGTAAGAGAAATACTTAGATTAACAATTATGGGATAAATACTTAAGTCAGAGCTAGCCAGTAAGAAACAAGCAAGGCCAACAGCTTCATAATTAATACAGCCTCCTGTGTGTTATTGGGACTGATGCGGCTCTGGAACCAGGATGGCGGGAAGGCTTCTCTTTACACAGGGGTGCCTCTCTCTGTTGGGCCCCAGCCCCCACGGGGTCTCTGTGAGTTGCTTGTCAGCCAATAACCACAGGTGCATCCTGTTTTCTAGTCCTGGCTCACAGTCCCGGCCTTGCCCCACTGGCATCAACCTCTAATTATGAAAACATGAGCTCTTACACATGGGGTTTTTCTACTGTGCTGTAAGTCTGTATATAAGGCTGCTCCCTCCTTTCAATAAACACACACACACACACACACACACACGCACGCACGCACGCACGCACGCATGCACGCACGCACATACATTCTCTTAGCACAAACGGCTGGACATCTTGTCTTTCATTTAAATCTCCAGGCTTTCTCCCGATACGTTAGACTTGCTCGTGGCACAGGCGCCACATCTCTCTGCCCCATGGATTCCTGTCATACAAGCCAAAGAGCAAACACTGGCAGCTGGAGCTTCAAGTTGAGTGTCAGTCTTATGCCACCTTCATCCCACCTTTCTTCAGGAGCCACAGCCTCTGCTCCAACGAGGCCTCAGACTGAGGAGATTCACATAGTTGTCCAGTGAGCCCACAGACACAACGCATTTCCATATACTGGGCTGGGGGAGCTTATGTTCCAACATTAGAAGACAGGACATTCATCATGCCTCATATTATACCGGGTGCTTCTGGGTAAGAGAAAGCTAGTGAGCTCTGGGGCCCTGGCTTGGCCCATTTACTGGATTTGTCTCTGAAATGTTCCCCCAAAAGCTCACATGCTAAAGCCTTTGTCGCCAGTCTGTGGTACTTTTTTGAGGAAGTGGACGTTTCAGGAGGTATAACCTAGTGGGAGGAAGTTGGGTCTTTGGACATGTATCCCTGATGGGGATACTGAGACCCTGCCATTTCCTCTTTGTTGGCTTCCTGACCACCATGAGCTGACAGCATTCTCCATCCAGGCCCTTGCCACAGTGCTGCACCTTAACACGGGCTCAGAAACACCAATGCAGTGACCGTGGACTATAGCCTCTGAAACCAGGAACTGACACAACGCCCCACCCCTTTGAACTTGACCCTCTGAAGTTTGTCACTGAGATGGAAAAGTCGATCACTGTTCCTCACAGCTGCACGTCGCCCCTGGCTGGGGCACCACTAGAAGGGGAGCCATGACAAAGAACTGCTCCCCTCCCCTGTGGAGGAGGTCTAACGTCATCATCCTGATGCTGTGTGTTCTAAAGGATGCTGTCAGCAGGTGGAGAGGTGGCTCAGTGGTTAAGGGTATGCTGAGCGCCTGAGTTTAATTCAGGGCCAGTATCCACATCTGCTGACTCACACAACCTACAACTCCAGCTCCAGGGGACCCAATGCCCTGTTCTGGCCTCCATGGACACCTGCATGCATGTGTCATAGACACACACTCACACACACACACACACACACACACACACACACAGACTCGCAGGATGGCAGCTGAGTGGGTGATGGCATTAACCCTGCTACTGCCAAGCTGGGAACTCAGTTTTACAGCTGGATGTCTCCCTCCATACTCACCCCAGACTTAGCACTAGATGCCACCCCTGTGTCCTCAGATCCACAGATTCAGTTCCTGCTGCTCTATGGAGCATGGGGTGGGGTTGGGAACTTGGGAAGTTTTCATAGAGACCAAGAACAGAAGGGAAGGTGTATTGCTTTGTGTGTACGTGGTTGGGCTTTGTGTGTGTTGCATGCTTGCACATCTGCGCACATGTGCCCAGGGAGGACGGAAGAGGGCATCAGATGCCCTGGGACTGGAGTTACAAATAGTTGTGAGCCTCCACGTGGGCACTGGGAATTGAACCTAGGTCCTCTGAGAGAGCAATCAGTGAGTGCTCTTAACCACTACGCCATCATCACTCCAGCCCTAAGAAGAAGTTTTTGATAGCATTTATTGAGACAAACAGCATGTGCCTTTGTCCCAGAGTGTGATCTCCATGGGGACAAGGGCTCCACTGCAATTGCTACATCACAGCACCAGAGGCATTCAGGGACAATCTATCAAAGGCTGTGTTAAGAGCTGAGGATGTGACTTGGGGATAGTAAACTTGCTCTTTTTATATAACACTCACTTCTGACCAGTGTTGTTCCCCTACCCCATGCACGTCTGTCTGCCCACCTACCTGTCTGCCTCCCTCTCTATGTCTGCCTCTGTCTCTCCCTTCTCTCATTCTCTCCCTTTTGCCTGTCTATGTGTCTGCCTCTATGTGTATGTCTGTCTCTCTGCCCCACCCCATTGGTCTGAACTCGATTTTCTCATTTTAAAACTTAGAGGCATTGATAATCTTGAAACCTGTTAGGAATTCTAAAGGATTTATTTATTTATTTATTTACTTATTTATTAAGACAGAGTTTTTCTGTGTTCTTGGCTGTCTTGGAATTCACTCTGTAGACCAGACTGGCCTCGAACTCACAAAGATCTGCCTGTCTCTGCCTTCCAAGTGCTGTGATTAAAGGCGTGTGCCACCACCACCTGGACTTTGATTTATTTTTTGTTTTTTGTTTTTAATTTAAAAACTTTTTTCTTTTAAAACCTTGATTTTAATTCCAGGAAGAAAACTCAGGCTGTGCCCTGGAGCGTCATTTCTGACCTTTTCTTCCCCATGTTTGGCCACTTGGGCTGTCTGTCTGGAACAATGTGTAAGAGTGTGAGGAGACGCCCTTGACAGCCCTTCTTGGGCCCTCAGGCCCTCCGTCCCTCCCTCCTGCAGAAGGGGCTTCTTGGGCCCTCAAGCCCTCTATCCCTCCCTCCTGCAGTAGGGCTTGCATTTCCTGCCCACACCAGGATTTCACCAAGGAGCCGGTTCCTAAGAAGTCAAACAAAGCTGCAAGTGTGACCAGGGGGAAGCAACATGAGTCTGACCTTCCCTCCCAGTGGTGTGGGCTGCCCTGTGACAAAGCCAGGTTAGGATGTCAGCAAGACTGGCCTGTCACCTGCCCCATCGAAACAGACAGAGCCCAGGAGGTCACAGGAAAGGCTGCCAAGGGTAGCCCTTTTTCTGGCATGCCCTCCCACCAATCAGCACACAGAACACACTTTCTAGGCCTGATAGTTTTGCCAGCAGTGACTCACACACAGAGCTGAGTGAAACATGTGTATGTGCATGGATTAATTTTCAAAACGGAATTTTTTCCTTTGGTGAAAACAGTTCACAATATTAATTTTTCTTTCTTTTTTGTTTAGGAGACTGAAATGGGATTGCAAAACAGCTTGCAAAATGGAAATCCCAGCCAGCATGGTGGCAGGCATGGTAAAATCTCATGGTGTCAATATGACCATATGTCCTCTGGTCATCACTTAAACATTTCATCAATAAAGAAAGGGGAGGATGTAGCAGCCCCAGTCACGGATTTCTTTTTTTTTTCTGGAAAAATGAAAATTGTCCTGTAGGTGCCACTCAACTGATCTCTGCCACTAATGGTAGGCCCTCTGGCCACCTCTGGACTAGTCACGAGCCAGGGTGAGTGTGATGGTCACAGCGTGCTCCCATGCGGTCACTGTGTTCCTTTGTCTGCCAGGCATGGCTGATCTTTGACAAAAAGAAAAGCCAGAAACGCCCCATTGTGCTACAGAGTGTTTAATCTCTCTGCCATCTGCTCCCCTCAACACATCCACATCAGCAGCCACTCAGGAGCAGCAAGCTGTGTCTGGAAGGGTTTTTGGAAAGTCTCTCTGAGTGACAGGTGTGAGAATGATGGCAGCCCTGCTGCTCTGCAACGCTGGGGACGCTTTAGGGAGCCCAAGTGTCTGCAAAGGTTGGCAGGAGGTGGATTTAAGGTCGTGCCTTGTCTCTGATCTGTGAGCCTCTGGATTCTGCAGTCACTGTCAAGTGCGTCGTGCTTTCATGGTTCCCTTTGCATTGGCAGAGGCGTGCCTGGGTGTGTGTAGCAGGTTTGGAGCTCAGCTTTAGATGTTGGGGGGGGTTTGTTTTGTCATCCATGGTGCTCTTAAGGTCCTTCAGCTGAACTGTGTTCAGCCCTAAAGTGGCTTGGTTGCCCCCTGCCATCTAGGAAGGCTTCGATTGCTGCTTCTACACTATTGTTCCTGTGTCACTGAGGAAATCTGTTTTCCTGTCCTGGGAGCGTGTTAGTCCTGCTTATCTTCATGCAGGAGGCCCAGCTGGCCAGGCTCCTGGGTGAGGCCCTCACCACTAGACCAGACCAGGGAGCACCTGACCATGGACCAGAAGGATGGATTCTTTTCTTTGTTTTGTTTTGTTTTTTTGAGACAGGGTTTCTCTGTGGCTTTGTAGACTGTCCTGGAACTCACTGTGTAGACCAGGCTGGCCTCGAACTCACAGAGATCGCCTGCCTCTGGCTCCCGAGGGCTGGGATTAAAGGCGTGTGCCCGGCAAGAAGGATTGATTCTTATCTGCCACCATCCACATTGATCATCCAGGGAATGTTTTGTTGACAGATCCTTATCTTTCTGGTCAGACCCTACTCCTCATGTGCCCCCACCCTAACCCCAGCACAAGAGAACATGCACAGAGCTGGGGCCGATGTCTTGATCTCTCATCCCCGAGGCAAGGGCTGATCACCCCTGTGAAGTGATGAGTCTGATCATATATGGCGGCAATGCCAATGTGTGAGCTCAGGAAAAGGATTGTGAAACTGAAGAGGGCGAGGGGAGAAGGGAGGGAGAAGGCTCGCACAATAAAGGCTTGGTCCTTTGCCTCTGATGTGCTAGTAGTTGCCTAGTGAGAAAAGGTTAAGTCATCGTGAGCCTCTTTCAAGGGACACTGGGACCCCATTTCTTCCTCTCTGCTTCCCAGGTGCCATGAAGTGAGCAGATTCTTCCATTCCACGGGTCTGTTGTGATGCCCTGTACTGCCCTCAGGGCCTGTGCCCCCAGAAAAAGGTAGCCAAAAGAAATCTTTCCTACTTTCAAGCTGGTCCTCATCTATTTGTCACACTGACCACAGATGGTTAGCACTGTCACCAGCTGTGTCTGACAGATGTGTACCTTGTAACTGCTCCTCCCGATTTGTGCTTAGGCTGCCTGACACAGCCCAGTGCTCTTCACCACCAGAGACCAAGGAGGAGCTGAGCAGGACTGGCTTCCCCATGTGGCTTCCTGCTTCCTCTCTTTCCTTACCCAACTTTCATCGGAATTACTCTTAGTCTGTTTGGGCTGCTGTGACAGAAGGGGCATGGGCTGTGTGCTTATGAACAGTTAACAGTTTGCTGTTTACAACTCTGAAGGATGATAGTTCAAGATCAAGAATATGCTTGCATATTGTTGAGCCCACCTCCTGAGTATAGACACTCCCTCCGTATCTGGAAGGGGTAAAAAGCTCTCAGGTGCCTCATTGATAAGGACTACTTAGTTTCGTTTCCTGTTGCAATGATAAGATATTCTGACAAAAGCAATTTAAAGGAAAGTAAAAGAGGTTTATTCCAGTTTACAGTTCAAGGCTATCGTGAGGAAGACGAGGTGGCAGGAGATTGATATAGTCATATTGCATTCGCAATCAGGGAATAGAAACGTGAATGTATGCTGATACTCAGCTCTCCTTCTCTAGTCCAGGATCTCATCCAGAGAATGGCCACCCACAGTCACAAGGTCTTGCCACCTCAGTTAACACAATCAATAGAATCCCCCAGAGATATGCTCAGAGGGCCATCTCCTAGGTGATTCCAGCCAAGTTGACAGCTAGCACCAATGACCAGTCATGCTAATCCCAGACTGAGGACTGCACCATCTTGACCAATCAGCTCCTAATGCCACAGCCTTGAAACTTAGGGTTTCAGCATTCCACCTTGGTGGTAGATGCATCAGACCGTAACCACTTGCTCAACCCCAATGTACAGTACAGAGCCAACCTGGAGAAGGTAGTCCTGCAGGAGCACATAGCTGAAGTTAGCTTTTAGAGTGACAGCTACTGGAAAACTTGACAGTCACCATGGGTCTTATGTTGGGCTGTGGAGAATTTCCCAGGCAGGAAGCTACTCCAGTCCCCACACTGAGGATGGCTCTTTGCACACTTTCTTCTCCCTTTGCAGCTGCAGCTATCCCTGGCCAGGTGGTTACATAAGAGTCCCCCTTGCCAACTGTCACCAAGGCCACCTAGAAACTCAAGAAGCTATCCAAACCCCAGTGCTAGCTGGCTGCAGGCTAGCTGACACTCTTCTTACTTCTTTCTGGTAGTCCTGGTTTGTGTTTTTGTTTCAAAGAAGGAAAACCATCAGCATGCATTTTCTACAAAATTAAGATGAGTTAAGAGGCCAGATGAGTTAAGATGCATGGCTGGCAATAATTCCCACCCCTAGCTGAGGAGGTATTGGCAGCTAATAGCTGCTGAAAGAAGGAGTCAGTTCTCTTTACAGGTGTGGTCCCTAGTAGTTCCACCATGTTCCAGAGCAGGCTCTACACCCAAGAGTATTGCACATCCAAAACTAGACTTGATGGGTTTAAAAGAGAGAAAACATGAGATTTGGTTGGTAGGGAGGTGGGGCATAGATCTGGGAGGAGTTGGGGTGGCCGGTGAATAGGATCAAAACACGATGTATGAAATTCTTGAATTAATAAAAACATTCTAAAAATGAAAAAGAGGCTGGGAGGAAGGGCCCAGTTTGGAAACACCACAGTTTCCTGGGTACTATCTGTGCCAGGTTTCATCCAAGGACAGGATTATGCAGGTATCCTCTTCCTATGCCTGCCCTCTCTCTGTGGACTGCCTGACCTCGGGTGACTCATTTAGTCTCTGGGTCTTCTGCAGGGTGTGATGAGGTTTCCAGGCATGCCTACCTATCCCCACAGTCTCCTCAGAAACACCTCCTTTTGTCATTCCCTCTATTCACTCCCTCTACAAGCAAGGATTGGCCAAGCTTGAAACCGAGTGCCAACGGGCCAGCAGAGGGCATGTCCTTACTCTTCCCAGGTCACATTGTCTGTCCCAGGATTCATTCTCTACATAGAAGGTAGCCAGACTCTAGCTAGGGCTTTTCTGGGCCCTTGGTTTACACCTCAGTTCATCGGTGGCATTTTCACAGGAAGAGCAAAAGGGTGTCAGTGTTCCCAGTATGCCCCTGAGGAGAGTGTGCCTGGAGAAGGACAGGTCCAGGGACTGCAGTACCCTCACCCAGAGCCCTGTGGAGTGCAGTGAGGTGGGGTAGGGGTGCTTAGCTCTGCCCAATGGCCAGTCAGTGCCAGCTTCAGGAAACCAAACTGTGCAGCCTCAAGCCTCATGCCTGTCCCTTCTGCTCCCCTGGGTGTCTCATTCCCTGTTCCCTCATCTTAGAGCCAGCAGTTCTAGAGAGAACCAGAAGAGGCACTCAGTCAAAGGCAGAAAAGCTAACTGTACCAAAGGACTTACGGCTTCCGAACTGAAATGTGAGTGGTACAGAGAGGGTTGTCCCCTAGAGTCTCCAGCCCACCCCAGCCCCTGACCAGAAGTGCAGACAGTTTGAGCCATGTGAGAAGGAAGGAAGGAGGGCCCTCTTAAAGCTCAAAGCACAGCCTGATCAACAAAGCCCTCTCAGCAGGCCAGGTGACACATGCCTGGGAGCCCAGCCTTGGGGAGGCTTGAGGCAGGGGGATGAGAGTTCAAGGGGCCCTGGGCTCTGAAGCAAGCCTGTACCCTGAAGGGAGAGAAGGGAGGAGGAAAGTGAGGAAGGGGAGGGAGGGAAGGGGAGAGCAAAAGGAAAGGAAGGGGAGATGGTGATAGAAACAACACATTTCCCAGGGAGAAATACCTCCACACAGTTAGAGATAATAAGGGAAACCCTATCTCAGACCCCATGTGGAAATTCAGGCCCCACATTGGGTGCCAAAGGTACCAGGCTTTTTCTTTTGAGACACCAACCAGCTCCCAAATAATGAAGACTTCTTAGTTATGAATGTCTGACCTATCTCATGCTTGTCCCACTAGCTCTTATAACTTAATCTGTTCTCTTCATCTACATTTTTGCCTTTCTTTCCTTCTGTATATCTTACTTTACTGCTTCTTGTGTCTGACTGGCTTCTGGCCCTGGCCAGGTATGTTCCTCTTTTCCTCCCTTGTTCTTTTCTTCTCTTTCTAGCCTAGATTTCTCCCATTTATTCTCTCTGCCCACCAGTCCCCCAATCCCTCTTCTGCCTAGCTGTTGGCCGTTCAGCTTTTTATTAGAACAATCAGGTGCCTTAGGCAGGAAAGGTGAAAGAGCAATACACCTTTACATAATTAAACAAATGCAGCAAAAACAAAAACAACAGACCTTTACGCAGTTAAAGTAATATTACACAGCATAAACAAATGTAACACATCTTTGCCTAGTTAAATAATTCTCCATAACCGACCAGGACTTACTGGTGATTGAAACCCTGCACTGCCCCCTTAGGCTGCCCATTTGAGGCATATTCTTTGATG